TCTTTCTCTTTTACTTCAAATACATGTGGTTGCTCCATGTAGATTTCATCCATCTAATCACCATGGAGAAATACAGTTTTCACATCTAACTGCTCAAGCTCAAGATCCAAGCTAACAGTTAAACCAAGAATCCCGAATGGAGATCATCTTCATAACAAAAGAAAATATATCATTGAAATCAACTCTTTTCTTCTGATTAAAGTCTTTTACTACCAACAAGCTTTATACTTTACAAGTTAAGTTTATATATCCATTTGTTTTTCAACGCTCATTTCCCTTCTAAAAGTTCAACTAGCTTATAGGTATTGTTCTTCTTCAGAGAACTCATCTCCTCTTGCATTGTTTTCATCAACTGAGTTTTTTCTTTGTGATTATGAACTTCTTGAAAGCTCTTTAACTCCCTCTCTTTACTAATTATGACATATTTAGAACCGGGATATCTAATAGATAGATGACATGTCCTACTTCACCTTCTCACTTAAGGCTCTTCTACAATCTGAGTTGGAGGGGGCTGCTCCCCTTACTCATTATCATCGACATCTACTGGTGTTGGCATATGTTCTTCGTGTGATTCTCCTTCACCGATGGCATCTCGGATTGAAAGAAAAACTAATGTCAAAATGTCTTTACTTCTTGTAGCTTTTTCTAATGTTTCAAAGTCCAACAGGTTATTGTATTCATGAAAGATCACATCTCTAGACCTGATGACTTTTTTCTTCACTAGATTTCATAATTTGTATTGAACTTTGCATCTCCTTAACAAAAAAAAAAATGCATGGAATAGTCTTCTCATCAAGTGTTTGCCTCTGTTCCTTAGGCACATGTACAAATGTCCTGCACCAAAATACCTTCAAGTGAGAGTAGGTAATACCTTTCTTAAATCCTACTAGAATGTCAAAATCCAAAGTAGTTGATGGAGAGCGATTCATTAGGTAACAGGTAGTATAAAGTGCTTCTCCCTAAAATGACTGGTAAATTAACCATTTTTAGCACATATCTAACATTCTCTTAAACGGTTCTGTTTGTTCTTTTAACAACACTATTATATTGAGGAGTACCTAGAACAGTCTTCTTATGTCTGATTCCATGCTGTAAATAGTAGTTCTAAAATTCATTTGAATCATATTCGCCACCATTGTTACTACGAAGACACTTTAAGGATGCTCATTTTTCTCTTTTTGCCATAGCATGAAATTACTTAAAATACTGTAAAACATGATTTTTTGTTTTTAAAATAAACACCCAAACCTTTCGTGAAACATCATAAATAAAAGTAACAAAATATCTATTACCACCTAATATTTCCACATCAATAAAACCATAAACATCAAAATATGCTAACTCGAATACATTCTTTTTCCTTTTAGAAGAATTATTAAAGGAAATTTTATGTTGTTTTTCATATAAATAATCATCACAAAGATTTAAACTCATACATCATAAGTCTGGTAAAGTATCATCTTTAGATGCATTCAGAGTACATTTGATTGTCTTGACTTGAGTCTTATAAAGTGCGTGAGACAATCTACCTCTAGCAACCATAACTGAACCTTTAATGAGTTTTCATTTTCTATCCCCAAAGAAGTTATAATAGTCATCTAGATCAGGACATGAGTGCAAATCATATTCAAGTGCAAATCTAGCACATGTCCTACATTTTTCAGATATATCTACATAGATGTGTTGCCCATCTTC